TCACGTCATGAGCGACACTGATTCTAATGATGAACACACTGATACGTCCTTTGTAGACAACTTTAAACTGACTCTCAGACAGAAGACTAGTGTGGCGGAGGGTTCTGGTGGGATGGGTATGGGTATTATAACTGATGTAATGAGTTTGGGGCGGCAGATTCAGGATTATCCGGACCATTCTGAGATTGATATCATCTTAGTTTCCAGGCATGACTTTCACTTTCACTTTCTGTTTATTTTCCTGTAAATCTGAATTAGCAAAAGCAGAAGCTGGACTCTTTTATCAATTTTAGTTCACTAAATATCTATTATATTAGGTTGACCGAGGTTAATGGTCAGTCACTTTCACTTTCATTTTCATTTTCACTGCTGTCTAGGTGGAATCTGGAGGATGAGACTCTGGAGAATGAAAGGAACGAGCTCCACAAAAGTCTGAAGTATTACGGTGTACCTAGAGATGAACTAAACAGAAAGTTAAATGCTGGGGAGTATGTGGAGCCAACTATAAGACTCTCTCATATGAGATCTGGTACTGTTTTTCAGTTGTATTTCTATTATATTTCTGTTAGAAGACATTCAGTAACTCTGCCAGTTTAGAGGAGTAAAAATGTGATGGAAAAGTTCAAAGAAAAACCAAGATCTTACTAGCCAGATCTTATCTAAGTTCTGACTCTTCAGCCTGCCATTAATAAAACATTTACACCTTATAGTATCAGGTTGCCAACCTTTCACTTTCATTTTCGCCTCAACTGATCATTTTCACTTTCACTTTAGTCTCAGGTATGCAGCTGATAACCTTGGTATCAGCTAGTTTCTGGCGTCTTAGTAATGAAGCTGAGTTTTGTCATATTCATCTCCCACTCGACCTCCTCAAGATAATTCCAGCTCATCTGATAAAAAAAACTGATGATCTCAGTAATCCTGCACATGTTCAGAGGCTGTTTAGTGGGGTGAGAACACGTGCAGACTGTGAAAATGTGCACGTGCAATATTCGTCCAGGCTGTGCACGTGCGTTATGTTTTACACGTACAAATTGTTCGTACAATTATCCTGTTTCTGCAACTGTGAATATAATATTTGTATAGTGCGTGCACTTCTTTCAAGGTAAACATTGAAAGATAATATTTTTGTTTGTATAAAATATTCGTGCTGGAAACTTCACATATTATGATATTATGTAACATATGTATGCATGCTGTTAATTTCACTTATTAACATATACCATACATTATATTAACCTCAAATGTTACAGGAACAAAGTGGTTTCGCTCTGACAGCGAAATATCAAATAAACTCTGTAAATGTTCATATTACCATGGCACCGACAGTCGACACATTCGTAATTTTGATTTTATGAAGCTGCTTGCTTAGGCCGCGTGTTTCACTTGTATAATTTGCTAAAACTAAAACTTAAAGTTGCGCAATTTTAATTATCACTTCAATACTGTTCTACAGAACACCATCTAAGTGATCAGCATTTATGAATTATAAATGAAATTTTGTAAATTTATAAAATTATATAAATTAATCATATCGCAAATGCCACAGTATCTGCATAGCTGCAATATTAAATGGTATTGTAAGATACAAATTAAACGGTGTCTCAGCACTCAGCAGTAACATAATATCCGCGAGTAACCGTCACTTCCTCAGCTGTGCAGTTATAGAGTAAAACAGTAATCAAGTAAAACTACTTAAACTCAATTCTCTGTCTCCCAGATCATTATTGCTGCTGCTAATATTAACCTTTATATTCCAATGTAAGATACTTACAGTTAGTTCTGCGATATAGACTGATTTGTCACTCCACGATTGATTCGACACCGATGATTTGTCGTATTTTACAAGGGGAGTAAAAGGAGGAGTTACTTTAGTAACTAATAGTAACCAATAGTAACCAATAGTAACCAATATTAACCACTTCATCGTAAGCATTAAGTTACACGGAAGTAACTTAACTCAATCACTCGCTTGCCTTGAGGCAATTGTTTTCTAACGTCTCCCTCCCGGTGTAGTGTGCGTCATATTCACATATTCACATATTATAATGATTCTCACTCGTTCGTGGACGTGTATTTTTATTAAACAGTATAGCTTTATCGACAGATTCGCAATCGGGACAGTTCGTATTACAGATCAATATGGTTAATATGGTAAATGGTTCCTATGGTTGCAGATCCCCCTCGCCTCCGTCAGCCAGATTTACACCTAGAAATTACATTAGCTTAAACATTACCTGTCCCCTAGATCCCACTCATTAGTTGAGATTACTAGCTTAAGATCTGAGGAACATACGTGTAGTGATATTGAGATGTGTTGTGATGTAAGCATGTAGTGAAGTAGTGTAATAGACTATAATAGTGTAAAACTTACGAAGGACCGCTTTTAATAACACTCATTAGATACCGTTTTTTATTTAGTTTACCATTTTAACAGTATATATGGTTTTTAATAGTATTATATGGTTTATTAATGTTTAGTGTTGTTAAACAAATGTTAAGTAATATATAACGTATTTTGGTGATTTCCCGATGAACACTCACAGAGAAGGTTACTTCTAATAGTACAATTATTTCCAGTCCATTTCCTCTTCTGCCACTTACTTACTTTACGTTACACTTACAATAGTATTTACCGTACTTATCTCCTCTTATTTCTCTCTTATCTTACACGTGTATTTTCTCTTTACGTGAGTTAGTTTCTGTCGCAGTCCTCTACTTGCTTAGAAGCTATGATTCAGAAGTTCTCAAGGGTGACCAGGAGTTTATATAGAATGGGTTTGCTAATGTTGCAGAAGAAGTACAGGTTCAGCTTCATTATCTTAATCTTTATTTTAACTTATCAGGTCTATCTCTAAAGCGTGATCGTCTCGGTTTACATATTGTAGTGAGATAATCTCCAAAGAGAAATGTAAGGTTTTAAAATAAAATCCAGTAAATAAAAGTACCCTATACTTAACTTAACCTCTCCTTCTGACGCTGTTAGCTAGAACTCTGTATTTTACACAGGATTAGCTGTCTTAACTTGTACCTGTGTCGCACTGTTTACAATTTACATGTACGGGAAACGGTAGAAATTTGCTTGTACTAACAAAGCCTAAAACTATTTGTAACTAACAGTAATAATGCAAATATGTGTTAGCCCAACAGGTAACCATGACAACCTAGAGACTGGAGGCTGGAGGGGTTCGTAGTCACCCAGCACAGCTGTGTTTCATTTGTTAACGTTCTAAGAAATCCTATATAATAACGTAAATATATGTATTTAATATTCTTTTGTTAACTCAGAGAATATAGATGACGTTATACCATACATAATTGAATGTGATGCACATTTCACACCATGTATTATTAGTCATTAGTTATACCGTTACACCTGTGTTTTACTCTTAAACCTTTTATAATTGTATTTATTTTTATTTATTCGTTAGAGTCTCCCGAAGTTCCTTCATTTTCCTGACCTCTCGTCAATTTGGCTCAAACTTTTTCTAATTTCGTCTAATGGAGACTTATGATCTTCCTTACGTCATTACACCAAGCACTACGTAGCCTGGCCTGGTGTAGACGCTTAGGTTACTTTTAGGCCTCATGTTGACCTTGTTGACTTTAACTCTCTTAAAATACGTTGTAATTTGGTTATGTTGAAATCATAACCATAACTGACAGCGCTCTCCACCTCCAAACCCTGTCATCACAGTAGCCTTGTTATAAGTAATGATAGGATAGTAATAGTAATACCCTATTCTCTGAATAATATTGCAGTGGTCTCATTCCATGATGAATAATGAACAGCAACCACAATGCACATAATACACATGCATAATACATACTACAATCACATCTTCTCGCGTAGACAAGTAGATTAGTAATGATTGTGTAATTAGGGTAGCTTCATTCAGCATCCTTTCCAGCAGCATCACGCCGGGTCTTTCAAGGTTCATAGCCTAGTCTGCAGTGGTCCATATTAGCGGTCTAATAGAGACTGCTAATAGGGACCGCTAATAGGGATTGCAGCAATAATAATTCGCGCAAAGTATCCTGAATTGTTTTCTTTTATTTCTTTTATTTCTCCCCTTTTCTGTATCATTAATATTGGGAAGTTTGTTCTCTGGTCCACTTTTCATTAGTTAAGTATCTATACCACAATGTGAGGCTGTGAATATTATAAGCCTTTGTTAAGATGTTGAGTCACCAAGTTCCTTTGTTAGGTCACCAAGTTGGTGTGTTTGTCCAGTATGGACAATGACACTAAACCACAAGTACACAACCCCACACTAACACTCTAAACTTAAGCTTTATAAGCTTTACACCCCGCTGTGGTGTCTGTACTGTGTGCGGTTCTGTTGTTATAGATTTAGGTTACTTAACTGGTTGTGCTTCAATCGTTATCAGCTGTATAAATGCAGTATATCTTGTAAGTGAGAACTTGGTAGTTGGTGGTTCCAGAATCCAGACACTAGGTGGCGAACATGGAACTTAATATTGATATTGAGCTGCAATGGAATGCGCTTAATAAACTCGGATGTATCATATTACTGATTTACTGGTTCTATTCTGCTCTGATTTTAGTTTTAACCAGCTCCGGTCGGTTCAAGTACTCTAGTTCGACAACTAAAGTTCGTCAGAAATCACCTCTGTCGAACTACATAACGTGTCCAACTACAGAACGTGTCGAACTACAGAACGTGTCGAGGTACAGAACGTGTCGAACTACTAACTAGGTGTACCGCTTAGATCACAGTTACCTCATTGGATTTGGAATGTAAACACTCCATAATTCGATAAATTGCCGAATAAACTGCTGTGTAACCCCTTGTTTATGTTAATCAGATTGCGTTGTGGACAGTGTAGACTGTACATTCTCAGTGATATTACTTTGTATCTCTATTCGTTATTGGTTGTCATAAGCAGTTTAATTTCCTGTATGATGTACAGACTTTTATATTTTGTATTTGACGTTTTAGTTTATCATTAAGTTGATATCCAGTGTTATCTTGATTTTACTTTGTTAGATAAGAGTTGAAGTTAAGAAGTAAAGAACCTGTTTTATGAGCAGCGAATGTCTACTGCGTGACCCCTCACGCAATACACTCGACAATGGCGTCAAGTCGCGTGACCCCTCACGCGTTGCCACGTCGTCCTTTGGTAGTGGTAAATCCTCGCTAACACGTGACAGTACGCGTGACAGTGCACGTGGGCGCTACCACTTGGTAACTGACGTGCTTTTTGATGAACTAAGGGGATTAAACGTGTCCTGTAAAACTTCCTCCACTGAAACTGTAGTGAGGTAGCTAGATACCAATTATGAATTAGACTTACTAATCTGCAATACTATCTGCAATACTATTACTAGTAGTACAGCAAATGTTCTGCAATCATATAATCAACTGTTGGGCTACCAGAACTAACTAGATACACATTATGAATAAGGTCAGTACTGTAGACTGCTATTACTACTACTAGTACTACTAGTACTATCTGTACTGCAACAACATAACTTAGGATCCGTATCTCTTCGTAAAACAAACTATTATCATTTATTGTCTTAACATCGTGCAGACGATTTACATATCTTTAAAATGCTTGTCTTTACATGATATCTGACCTGGTTTAAAAAGTTTAAATGACAATCGGTCTTGTAAAATTGAGTTATTAGATATTCACATGATCAGAACTGTTGCTACATTGTCCTGGTTACCAAGTAACGGTTACTGGGGAGGGGGGTTCACCCTGATTTTTTTTGAAACTTGGTTTCGAGATAGCAGTTGACCAACAAACTAGGACAACAAATTTGACGGCCAAGTTCTGAAAAATGCACAGCAAATTTTAGAATTTGGCCTTTGGCCGCCAAATTTTTTTAAAGGCCTAACTCAAAATTCCACTACAAAACTTAAGATCGAAATGCGATTCTACATCGATTCTGAAAATTTCATGAAAATATAGTGAAAACCTATCGAGATTTATTGTTTGAGCGAAATCAGTTTCGCAAATATCGCAAACTGACATATGGGCGATTTTGTTCATTTTTTACGATTATTTGAACACAGGATCCACAGTTAGATAGATATTGAGCTGATAATCGTAGAGAATGTGTAGTTTCGGCTTAACTTTTATATAAAGTTGGTTTCATTCAAAATGTTGATATTTGACCTATTTATGGGCCAAAATTGATCAAATTTGGTTCGTATGCCCAAATATGGGCATATAGTTTTTAGCTCATAACTCAGTTATTTTTAGTCCAATCTTAATGAAAATTCATACACGAGTTCAGGGGACCAATAGCTACAAGTAGAGTACCTAAAATTTAGGTTTTGGGCATGTTGAGGGTATTTGGCTAAATTGGGCCTAATTTGGACCAAATATGGGCGTGGCTGCCCTGCGGGCACCGTTTTGTGTTTGGGTCCTGGACCCTCACAAAAAATCAGGGTGAACCCCCTCCCCCCTTAACTACCACCTGGAAAAATAAAGGAGTCTGTTAAATGCTCGTAAATATTAAATACTTACTTGTCTACCTGTCAGTGCTCCTTTATAAAGATGTCTGCATGCCCGTCTTGTCTCTTATGGTCGTCAATATAACCACCGTATAAATGTGATAAGTAACAGTCCTAAATAATGTAACAGGCGCGAGTAAGTTAAACCGGAGGAAAATAAAATGATTTGATTTCTAAATAAGTTAATATCTAATGAAATAGCAGAAAAGTAAGATATGATAAATTAACAAAGCTAATTATCCGAGCGAGACCCTCTGTTGCTAGTGACTCTGATGATAGCTCACTGTTAATGAGTTCTCAAGAGGTAGCCGAGATTTATCTTTAGTCTACAACGTGATCTCCCAGCGTGGAATTGGGAGAAGTTTCTAGAACTACAAATCTTACGTAAGATGAGTTATTGAGCTTGTAAGGGATTATAACAGAGTCATTTAAATAACATCATATAATTTGTAAACTTATCGTTAGTAAGTTAGAGAGTAAGAGGATTGTTTGTACAACAAAGCCATTTTTACCGTCCCAGTCCCTACCACAACCTCAAACTGCGTGCGACGTGACACCACATGTCGTGACGTGACACCACATGATGTGACGTCACACCGCCTGATAGTTTAAAAACGCATGGTTCCGAGTAGTCTCAAGTGTTCATTATCCCTCCGTCTAAATAGAGCTCTGTAATTACTATCACTGTAATACTGTGTGTTCGACTACTTTGTACAAACCCACGTATCTTTTGCCGCTTATCTACTCTCGTTGTGACTTTTATGAAATTGGATACTAGCCGGTCAGTGCTCCTTCGTCAAGATAACGTGTTAATAACTGAATTTTTTACTGGATTAATATGATTTTCACATTATATCATTTTTGCCAAGCAACAGTATCTATTGACCTAGTAGCCAAGCTTGACTTTCTAAATGTTAGTTACTAGTAACCTAGTAACGGTATGTTCCTGAATTTTAGTTACTAGTAACCTAGTAACGGTATTTCTCCGGCAGTGGTGACACAGCAGCGCACTCAGAAGAACCCAAAACCTCTAAACGAAGAAAGGTGCAGTCGAAAAGAGCTCGACAGTACGAGGTTTCCGGTGACCTAGAAACAGGGTCCGGTAACCAAGCAACAAGCTCAACTACAGAAGGCAGCTCTAGTCCTGAAAATGAGAATTCTAATTTAAACTTACTGACGTTCCTAAATGGACAGGAGAGGGAGAACGGAGACAACGAGGACAGCGGGAACAAGGGCGTGAAAAGAGAGAAAAAAAGTGCAGAAAGAGTTCCTAATTGCTACAGAAGGTGGGTTGCTCCCCCTGATGTAAAGGTAGACGGAGGTACGAATATCTCCCCCTCTCCATCTAGAGTCTCCCTCAATCTCTATCCTCGCCCTCCTTCCTCACCCTCTCCTGAACACTCCAGAGCTTCGCGGCGGCGGCTCAAACCTCCTCCCTCTCCTCCCTTCCTCCATCCCTCTCCCCCTCTCCACAGTCACCACCTCCACACAGACCGGAGTGTCCAGACCACAGACTCAGCTCTGCACTGTATCCGCTGCTCTCGCCTCCTCTCTCCCCCCTGCAACCCCTTCACTCGGCCTCCCTGCCCTGCGTTACCACGTGCTGACATTGTGCTGGTTAACAGTACCGCTCATATCACACACAGTGACTCTCTGTTTAGAGGAGAGTTTGAGGATAACCTGATTGAGGAACTGGGGGCTACTATACAGAAGATTAAGAGTTATGAGAAGGAGTATGTGTACACAGTGATAGGGGGAGGCTGGGAGTGTCTGGTTGAGAGTGCCGTACAGTTCCACGTGTCCTGTCCTCTTAACGTCACCAGGACTGCTCAACATAGGGTGAGATAGCACGTGCGTGTTGGTTACTAGGGGATCTAGGCAGTAACCATAGTAACCACCTAGTTACCACATAGTTACCATTTAGTAACCTGGAATCGGCCAATAGCACGTCACTTTTGGGTCTTATCTCTTAATAAAACAAACAAAAAATTCGATCTAAAATTCCCATTTGATTTGCTGTTTGTTTATTGGGTGTGCTGACTGCTGCGTTGTTTATTTCTGTGTTGCTGGTAGCATGGTTTGGGGATCACTAATATTTGTTTGGGGTTTATCTATTTTATCTTGTAAATTAAGGGGCGGTCTTAACTCTGGTGTCTACTATCAATCAAACTATTTTGTTAAGAAATGTTCCTATGGTAAAATTTATGAAATCAAAATGAAATAATGTTCGAGACTCATTTTCCTCACTAACCCATTATATTGTAAAGTTTGATTATATCTATTTTACATTGTTAACCAGTGTTTCTTTTCAGATAGAGGATGAAGGAGAGGAGGGTATTATTGATAAGATAACGAGCTTCTTCGAGACTGATCAGGAGGTCGACTATATATCAGCTCCGTTCAGGTAGGCTTGGTTACCATCTAGTTACTTAGTAACCTAGTAACCAATTACACTCTTAGTTACCAGCTCGTAAGCATAATAACTAATATCTGATAATTTAGTAACTACTATTTGGTATCCAAGTAATCAATATAAATTAGTAACCAATAATTTCTAACTAATAATTTCTAACAGATGGGACAAAAAGGAGCTGTTTGCTGGTATCGAGGATCCGGACACTTTCTTCAGATCTTCTCTCCGATCCTTCCTTGTGAGTTACTTAGTAACATAGAACCTTGTTAGTTACATTTTTTTAATTCAAAATATTATGCTCAACTTTTTGCTAATTCATCTAATAAGAGTTTCATATTTTCAGACTCATCACATTCTGATACGAACTGACGTCAGCAAAAAGAAGGACACCTCTGATGGAATCAATATCCGAGGTGAGAACCACAAACGTACACACAAACTTACAAACAGACAAACAGACAAATTCACTGAATGGGTGTTCTTGAAACATACACTTGATACGATAGACAAATTAACAGACTGGAACACAAGAAAATATTATCACAAACTAAGGTGTCAAGGTACATGACATGCTGTGTTTTTGTTGTGTTATACACGGTATGACGTCACTTGTACGGTATGACGTCACGTCACATCTAAATATTGTATCCTGTGTTCAGCAGGAAATACTCAAACGAAGGGAGGAATGAATTCTCTTGGTAGGAGACGGATTCTGGCATTTTTTTATGTCTTTAATTTCCTCGAGAATTGGGTCCCTTTTTTTCCGTCTTAGTTTATTAGACAGTCTTTTAGTTTCCAAGTGTCTACCGCGAGCTTTTTGTGTAATTTCCGTGTGTGCCGATTTGTGCCGCCCTCTCTGCTGTTCTCGCGTTTGCGCTCACCCACTCCTCAGTGGGCTGTTCACTTGACAGAGATACTGTGGCTGACACTCCCAAAATTTTCTCACTACTGCTCAACCAAAAATCATGCAATCAAAATCACTATACACTCACAATCATATAATCAAAACACAATGCTTTGAAACATACTTTTTCTGTTTGAGATTTGGATGTAATGTCCTAAATTATATTTCAAATGTTTAAAAAGATCAGATTAATTTTCTTAACATCTTAGTCTAGCTTTCCACAAAAATATTAGTAACCTAGTAACCAGTACTGGTAACCATAGTAACCAGTACTGGTAACCATAGTAACATATAAATGTTAACTCTGGAGGTGAGACACCAACAAATCAGTTTCCATTATTGACCAATCGAACCGGGGGTGATGCAACGTCAATTAATGTCAGTATTCCATAAAAACCCCAAACTGACATTGACATTAATTGACATTAATTGACATTAATTGACATTAATTGACATTAATTTGTCTTGAAATTTGAGATTATCATTATTCGATATATATTCAAGATATTCACGTCTATCATGTAAGTTAGACCGTTTCAAAAAAACAAAGTCCTTGAATAATTATGAGTATGTTCTTATCTGTTGATCCTTAGGTTCAAAGACCACCAAAAAAAATTTCAGCTTCCAACTCTTCCATCTTCGGTCCCCACCGGCCACGCCCATATTTTATTGGTTTCTTATACAGGTAAAATATTTAGAATCGGCTTTTTTAGTATGAAGGAGTAATGTTAGCTGTTTAAGATTCGTTATTCAAATATAAATGTCATTAAGGCATTTCGTTTAATGTGGGTTCTAAATTCTGATGATGTTGAGAACCACGCCCTTGGATGGCCACGCCCATTTAAGAAAATTAAATTTCGGAAAACCGTATTATTTTAGTTTTATTGTTTAATGATCTGAATTTTTTCACATTTCCATATGTGATAGTAGTGAATAAATTGATGATATAAACGTTCTAAAGTGCTAAAAATATGGTAGAACTACATAATCTCTGGTCGAAAAATATCGTGTCAATTAATGTCAGTATTCCAAAATTTTGTAAAACTGACATTGACATTAATTGACATTAATTGACATAAATTGACATTAATTGACATTAATTGACATTAATTGACGTTGCATCACCCCCATCGAACCCCAGAATCACTGCCACGTGCCGACCCTCCCCACCAGAATCCACATCTGCTGTCATAACTGTTATCTTCTTTATATATTATATATATATAATATATATATTATATATCTTCTTTATATATATCTTTTCTAAAGAGTGCTCTGTTTGTTTTATCTGCTTTAACTTAAATGTCTTAAAATTTATAGCTTTTAATTATTTTGTTACTTTTTAATCATTTTGTTACCTTGGCAATATAATTACCTTATTGACCACCATCTAGTAACTTGGTGACTAATACTAGTAACTTATTAACCAGTATTTGTAACTTAGTAATCAGTATTAGGGACCTAGTTACCAGAATTGGTAACTGAATAACCATTAGCAGTATCCTAGTGACCAGTACTGGTAACTTAGTAACCAGTATTAGTAACCTAGTAACGCCCCAGGTTTGAACTACCTGAAGCTGAAAGGAGTCTACACTGACGTGTTTATTTTACACGACAGACCCTCTACACTGCACAGAAGAAAGGCTTTCAAAGAAGAGGACGAAGATTCGGTACCTGATATTTTACTTGCTAATTAATTAATTAAAGAATTATTTAATTTGAATAATAAAATAATTTGGGTTGCTAATTAATTTAGATTATCAACTGATGATATTCCTAATTATTTACTAACTCTGTCACTTAATGTACAGTTGCTAACAAAGTATTCATATTCTATTATACTATGTAAATTGTAAGTATTCATCATCTGAGTAGTTCCATTTAGTGTTACAAGCTCTAAATAACAGATATATTATCATATCAGGAAATAGTAAGTAAAATTACGAACGAAGTAAGTGTTAACAAACCAAAAATACCAAACTAGTACATAAACACTATACCTACGTACTATACCTACGCTGAAAAAAAGAATGTAAAATACTACGCCCTCCTGCAAAGTAAAACAGAAAATTGAATAACACGGAGACTTAAAACTTTCTTTTAAAAAATCTATGCAAATGATGATATCATGTAATATAACGTTCCGGTTCTTACCCAAACAAGTGTTCTGCGGAGTTTATTAACTTATATTCACACTTGTATGCTTATAATATACTACTGAGCTCCGCCACTACTGGACTGCATGAACAGTATCTTGCTGAATAGTAGCAGCAGTAATAGTATCTCCTCATTTAATACGCTCGTGATTTCTTAATCAGAATTACTCTTTTCTTTGATAATGTCGCATCCCTCCTTATTTATTGTTTTCAAAACTATTCGGTGAAACTTCGTCATGTCGTATACCTCGTGTCGTATACCTCGTGTCGTATACCTCGTGTCGTATACCTCGTGTCGTATACCTCGTGTCGTATACCTCGTGTCGTATACCTCATGTCGTATACCTCGTTTCGTATACCTCATGTCGTATACCTCGTGTCGTATACCTCGTGTCGTATACTTCATGTCGTATACCTCGTGTTGTATACCTCATTCCTGTAATAACTAACTTTCTATTTACTAATTAGAAACCACAAACCGGTATTAGTAACCCGGTTACTGGTAACCTAGTAACCAGTATTAGCAACTTAGTAACCAGTATTAGTAACTTAGTAACCAGTCAGTAACCTAGCAACTTTGGCAGAAAGTTGTGGACCCCAGAGCTGAGCTATGGAGCAGTTGGAAACTTTGGTACAAATTCCAACCCCTCTGGAAAATACGGAACTATTTTGGAGAGAAAATAGCTTTTTACTTTGCTTGGATAGGTGAGTGTTATGTTTTTACAATACATTATACATTGTACATTGTATAACAAGTTTGATAGTTCAGTATTATCAGGAATTTAAAAGTCGTTTTAACGACTTTTAAATACTGGCCAAGCCTCTTTTTTAGTAACCTTGTAACGACTATACCCCCTCAGAACTTTACATATTGACGCTCATCGTCCCCACTATATTCGGCATCGTCTCTTTTATCTACGGAATCAGCTACTCAGGAAAAGGTGTCAGCCTAGACGAGGAGAACGTCACAACGGCTCTGTACAACGCGTTTACAATCTTCAATAATCCTCTTACTCCCTGGTTCTCTCTAGCTCTCTGTATCTGGGGGACTCTCTTTGTGGAACAATGGAAACGGAGGAGGTACTGTTGGGTTATCATTTGTTTTGTTAAATCTTGTAAGATCGTTCAAGAATGTAAATTTGGTGGCCTGCATATTTTATCATTAAAGTAAAGGATACATTGAATTGAAGTATCACCCCAATGAATATAGTAACCATAGTAACTATAATAATTAATAACCAGCAACCATAGTAGTAACCCATTTAACTATAATAACCAGTTACCATAGTAGTAACCTTAGTAACTTCTCCTTAGTAACTCCCTCAAGTACGAGTGGGATGTGAGCAACTTTGAACAACTTGAACCAGACAGACCACAATTCTACGGTAAGTTTTAATTCTCAATTGTTACTATGTAGTTATGTAAGATGTTTAATTGTCATTTATCTGCCCCGCCCCCCCCCCCCCCCCCCCCCCCCCCCCCCCCCCCCCCCCCCCCCCCCCCCCAAGTTATATAACCCCTCATCTCAGGAAGTAAGACGAGAAAGAACCCTATAACTGAGGAGGAGGAGTGGTACTACCCATTCTACAGACTCTACCTCAAGATCTCCTTCTCTGTACTCACTATCGCCTTTATGGTGTTCCTTGTTATGGCTTCTACTGTGGGTGAGTAGTTTCACGTGACCATCGCAACCCGCTATATAAAGTCATGTAACCATAGCAACACTACCATATAAGGTTATATTACCATGGTAACCCCATTAAAACACTACTATCAAGACAATTGAAGTCACCTCCCCACCAGTAGTCAAATATATTTGTAATTAAGTTCTATTTGATCACGTGACCTTGCACCACGTGACAATTTGATTGTAACCATGGTAACTGTATTTGTATTGTCAGGTGTTATCGTGTTCAGGACTGCCTTCAACGCTGGAAACTACCTGGCCAGTCTTCCAGTTAGGGAAAGTTATGAAACCGATGCGGCGTTTGAGGCTGCTACGGCTCTGTCTAAAGATAATAACGCTCTCTACACATCCGTTCTGTCTTCTGTTCTCAACGCACTGGCTATTATGTTCCTGGGATTTGTGAGTATAACTTTCCTTTTATATCCTTATATGGTCATACAGGGTGAATGGTATATCAAATGATGGAGTAGTTCGCTGTTTATTAGTCTCATGGTTGAAATACTGATAGTTAGATAATATCCGGTTGGAAGAGACAAGGACAAATGAAACAGGAAGTTAGGAATGTAGGCAAATTTTCGGCGTCTTCAGGCTAAAACTGGTACAAATGTTAGTATACAATTATAAATGGTTCTACACTTGTTAAAATGCTAAATTAAAATTACACACACTGAATACAGGTTACATCAAATAGTATTATATTTTAAAAGGTTTATAAATTTGGTTTTCGTAATTATATTTATTTAGGACGTTACAGAAGGAATTGATTTAATGTAGTTGAAGGAGTCCTAACCCTCCTCACGTCCATAAATATAGTTTTCTTTGCATCATATATTACATATTAAATGGTGATGTACACACGTTTTACACTCTGTCCGAGTACATGATATCTACCGAACATGAGGGTCGTGTGCTATTTGTTTAAATTTGTCTCTGAATATTTTGTAAAAGAAATCACTTAAGCTTCTCACACTCTTCCTTATTATTGATACTAGGTTTAAATAAATTAATGTAGTACGCTTCTGTCACTTTTCGTTAAATGGTGCTATATAAGTTAATTTCTAAAATATCGAAAGAAATGTCTGGATCTAAGTTATTGTGAAATTCTAGGGTGAATGGTGATGTAAAAATGATGTTGGGATTGTAAAAATGATTTTGAAATTGTGATGGAGCCAATTTTGAAAGATGAATTGCTATTAGTTCATAAACGTTACAAATTTCATTCTTGCTTCTCCTTTGATGCTGACTCATGATTTGGTTCTTTTTTCAGGTATATGAGAAATTAGCGTATATGCTAACTAACTGGGAGAACCACAGGACGCAAACTGCTTACGATGATGCGCTTATTATCAAACTATTCGCATTCCAGTTTGTTAATAACTATGCGTCTCTTATCTACATTGCTTTCTTCAAGGTAAGTGTATTATTATTATTTTTTACGTTTTTGAATTTTTAACACTTGTTTTTAGATCATGAATACGATGTAGTTACATTGAAACGTCGAGTAATCTCCTTTCCCTAATAAGAGCATTTTTACTTGTCGCAACAACCGGGATAAAGATAATTTTACCCAGAATACATTACAACAATGCGACTCATAAATAATACTCCAATCCGGATTTTACATAAGTGTATTATATTCTCATTTTCTATTTAAACTGTTTTTTAACGGCTAACTTTATTTCCGTTCTGTGATCTAGTAGAGCAGTGCAGTGGAACCTAGTTATGAACTAGTAACCTAGTAACCAGCTGGTTACCTAGTAACCAACCAGTAACCCCATGTCCAATGTTCAGGAGGATGTGTCTGAGAATGGTATGTTCGGAATGTCTTCATGGAAAGACACCTGCGGATACGAAGATAGCAACGGAGTAAGTTATTTCTAATCTCAAATATTTACGAAGGAGAAAGTAATGCTACTGAACACAATATAATACTTCCTTTTTTTACTCGAATTATCCTCTACGATTATTGGTAACTAGAAGGTTACCCAGTAACCAGATAGTAACCTTGTAACCAGATAGTAACATAGTAAGTAACCAGGTTGTAACCTAGTAAAACCCCACAGAGGCCTCTCTGCTACCCTATGCTGGTGATGCAGGTCGCTGTTCTTATGATCCTGAAACCGATGCCCAAGTTCTTTAAAGATGTTGTAATTCCTATTCTGCTTACTTTGTGGGCTAAATTCAGAAACAAGTGAGTTATAGAAGCAAGCTAATCTGATAAACTAGTGACTAGCTATTAGTAACCTAGAAGTCAGCCTAACCTAGTAACCTAGCAACATAGTAACCAGCTAGTAACCAGCTAGTAACCTAGTAACCAGCTCACTAAGTAGTACTCACAGTGTGCTACCCAGAGACAGTAATGATAATATAGAGGCAGTTAATGCGGGTCCGGAAAAGACAAAAGAGCTGATTGATATTATTGAGGAGGACAGGAAACTTCTCGCTGGAGATACTGTGAGTTTTAAATATCTTCACAATTTCACGTTATATTTTTTTCCAGATAGCTTTCTGCCGAGATATACGATTAATATATTGATTCCCGTGATGCCCATATAAGGAGATGTAACACCACGTGATCCCCAGGATTTCACGCTGTCTGAGTACACCGAGAAGTGTATAATGTACGGTATTATCATGCTGTTTGGCACTGTGTTCCCTCTAGCGCCTCTAGTCGCTCTTATCTGTAACATGGTGGACGTCAGAGTGGACGGTTACAGAATACTCTGGAAAAACAGAAGATACATTGCACAGCGTGCTGAGGATATTGGTTAGTTTCACTTCATTCCTAGTCGTTTCCTGTTTAACCAGCCAGTAACCTAGTAACCAGTTAGTAACGTAGTAACCAGCCATTAACCTAGTAACCCGCTAGTAACCAGCCAGTAACTTAGTTACCAGCCAGTAACCTAGTATTAGTAACCAGCCAGTAACCTAGTAACCAGCCAGTAACCTAGTAACCAGCTAGTAACCTAGTAACCAGCCCGTAACCTAGTAACTAGCTAGTAACCTAGTAACCATCTCCTACTCAGGTATTTGGCAGTATATTCTAGAATTTCTGAACATGGTGGGTGTTGTGGTGAACTCTCTTATCTTAGCCTTCACTCTGAAGGGAAGCAGCTCTATTTTATTCAAACCAGATGTTGAGGGATCGAACATCAACTCATATGAACCGTGAGTTTTGGAGTTTTTTCTTTGTTTACGCACTAGTAAATATAAAATCAATTTGGAAACAGAATATCAGGCCATTAAGTTCATTAAAATTCCAGTTTACAAACGAACCCTTAAAAGGAGACTGAATGAGGTCAATAGATCTGAGTATTCTCTTGCTAATAAGCGTGTTAAGAAGAGCTGCAAGAAGGACGATGAGAACTGGGCTTTACGGGTTGCAGCCGATCTGGAAACAGCTTCTTCACACGGTCAGCAGAGGGAGGTCTGGCAGATGATCAAGTCCTTGTCAGGCAAGAAAAGTCAGAAGTCAACTGCTGTCAGAGATAAAACCGAGAAGTTGATTTCTGACCCCGCTGCTCAACGAAAACGATGGGGTGAGCACTTCGCTGAACTACTAAACCCGCAGATAGGAGACGTGGACCTTTCAGACCTAGACAGTCTAGAGGTCGCACCATATTTTCCGTATCTGAGTGATAGTGATATACCCCCTAGCAGAACAGAGATCTCTGAAGCTTTAAAGAGTCTGAAGAATCACAAGAGCCCTGGAATTGATGACATTTCCAACGAACAGCTGAAGTATGGGGCTCCTGGTCTTTTAGACAGGCTTGAGAAACTGTTTGCACGTGTATGGGAGACAGAGAATGTGCCAGAGGATTGGGTTAAGGGTATCATTGTTATTGTCCCGAAAAAGGGTGATACATCATACTGCTCGAACAACAGGGGCATTACCCTACGCTCCACGGCATCAAAACTCTATCAGATAATAGTGTTGCGACGGATGAATGCGGGGCTTGAAGAACTGCTCCGAGAGAATCAGTGCGGGTTCAGGAAAAACAGGTCTTGCATAGATCAGATTTATTCGCTCCGTACTATTATTCACAACAGCATTGAGTTTAATCTCCCCCTTTACATAAATTTTGTTGACTTTAAAGCGGCATTCGATTCACTTAATCGGGAGTTTATCTGGAAAGCTTTCAGTCATTATGGCTTGCCTTGTAAATACATTCGCATAATGCAAGCATTCTTTTGCGGCACCGTCAGCGCTGTCAGACATAATGGCGAGCTCTCTGAGTGGTTTGACGTTACATCTGGTTCTGGGCAGGGGGATATTCAGGGTCCACCTATCTTTAATGTTTGCATCAACCTGCCTGCGCAGCGGGCTGAGGATAACAAAGTGTTGTCACACGGGGCAGTGCTGCAGAGAGCTACCACCAGCTCTGGTCAGGATACAGTCGTCCTGGATACTGACTATGCAGATGATTTGGCTATCATGGACAACACCAAGGACGGTCTCCAGGAGACAACTGATCTTTTATGCAAGTATGCGGCTCAGGCTGGCCTCAGAATCAATGCGAAGAAAACAGAGGTTATGGCCATCGGCAAGAATACATCACAGAGGCCATATACTGAAGCATCAACAGTGGACATTACAGTAGGACACGGCTATCCAGCAAGTCAGCAACTTCACTTACCTTGGGTCGATTATATCAAGTGATGGGACTATTGACCGGGACTTGTCTGCACGGATCCAGAAAGCCTCAGGAGCATTCAATCAGCTCGGTAATATTTGGAAGAATCGCAATATCCAAACTAACACCAAAATACGGATATATGTTGCAGCGGTTCTAACAATATTACTTTATGGAAGCGAAGTCTGGAACACTACTTCAAAGCAACTACATCGCTTCGAAGTTTTTCATCAAAACTGTTTGAGGAGAATCCTTCGAATTAAGTGGTTCCACCGGACGAGCAATGTTCAAGTGTTGGAGCGGGCAAGAATAAACCCGGTTATAACCTACATCAGTGCCAACCGTCTTCGCTGGTTTGGACATGTTTCTAGAATGCCGGACACCAGGCTACCAAAGTATCTACTTGATTGGACACCTGCTCACGGCCGAAGATCACGTGGGCGGCCAAGAAAGAATTGGCGAACCTGTGTCCTAGAAGCAGGGACAAAAGGATTTCGCGGCATGTACGAAATCGACGCAGTAACATTCACAGGAGATCCAGACATTGTATTTGATAAGGTCCGAGAGTTGGCAGGAAACCGAAAGCACTGGAGAGAGATGATACGACATAAGCGGCAATTCCTTGGTGCAGGCCACTCGAATGATTGAGGAGACCTTATCAAGTATCAAGTAAGTAGAATGAGGTCTGATTTATTCTTGTTGTTTGGTTAAAACTCTGCATCTCAGGTGGATGGTAGCGTTTGCATTTGAACACGTGTGTTTTGCACTGAAGTTCATTGTTTCCTACGTTATTCCTGACGTGCCCAGTGACGTGCAGTTCAAGATGAGAAAGGTACGTGTTTCTCTTTCACTTTCGTTTTGATCGGTTTCGCTTTCATCTATGTCTTTAACTAACTAACCTGATTTTTATATCTGATTCGCTTCAGGAACAATTCCAAGTAAACCAGCTCTTTGAGAAGGGACCAACTAAGAAGGACAGTACTGGAGCTAACGGTAACCCTACAGTGTAGTTACCATGGTTAACATGTAGTTACTAACGGTAACCCTAAAGTGTAATTACAATGGTTACTATGTAGTTACTAACGGTAACCCTACAGTGTAATTACCATGGTTACTATGTAGTTACTAACGGTAACCCTAAAGTGTAATTACAATGGTTACTATGTAGTTACTAACGGTAACCCTACAGTGTAGGGAAAAAAATATTAAAGTTGTTACTCATTGTTACTGAGTCTCAACCTGAGGTGACAATTGTTATATATCTTTAACTTCTCATTTAAACGATATTATGATGAATTTTTAAAAGCTTTGTAAATGAGGAAAGCGATTTACGAACGGTAGTTTTTTTTGCTTGAAGTTTTGGTTTTTTTCTAGTATATTAGCATATGCTACAGTTCTAATGTTACTAAAGTTACGATGTAGTTACTATGGTTACTATTAAGTTACTGTGATGACTAAATAGTTACCACGGTAACCATGTAGTTAATAAAGTATCTATGTAGTTACTATGGTAACTGTTTAGTTACTATGGTTACTATTTAGTTACTAAAGTAACTGTTGTACGCTGATGTTGAGGGTAATGACAGTCTATGATTTTGTATAGGACAGTGAATTTATATATTACATGATATTGATAATCTAGCTTTATTTTTAGTTTTTAATTTCACTAAACTTTTTTATCTAATCTGATTTTTGTGCTTAGTAACTATGGTAGCTGTTATCATGGTATTTAAACTGTCATGGTAGCTGTTTCCATAGTAACGGATGCCACAACTCAATCAAGTTTGATCAGATCTGTTTTCAGTTTTGTCTCTTATCGTGGTTATTGTAGTTATTGTGTTACGATGATGCGTTGCCATGGTAACTGTTTCCACGTGTATTTGTTACGCGTCCTCTTAGTCCTATTTTTACCCAATAATTTATTTTCTACGTCACAAAGAACATTTCTATTTTCAATTTTGCCCGCTAATGGTCGAATTCGGACAATTATTATGAAATCCGCTAAATAAGTATATTGGCAATATTAAAAGTATAAAAGTATTAACCTAATATAACGATAGTTTTGATTTTAAATACTTTATATGGGTTTAAACCTAATACGGGTTTTACCAAATTGTTTATGAATTTAATGGAAATGTCTTTGAAATTAAACATCATACCTCATTGAGACTTTAATGTAAATAGCACGGTTTGTAGTTAATGAGCATGCCCATTAGAATTGTAAATCTTCTTTTAGCTGAACCAAATCTTAAAGTTTATATAAACGTTGATGAGAGAACATATTCTACAATTTAAGCAATGCCTTATGTTTAATTTTTTTTTTCAGTATATTCCTCTTTGTGATATGTTTTGAGATCTAGATGTAGTTACTATGTTTCTTGTTAAATGTGAGCTTAATTTCATTTTTGTTTCACTTTTCAGTGAAACCCACTAGATAACAAAGTCACTTTGCTGATCTCTTTTATTTCATTTCAATTATAATCTCAATTACTTTAAAATAAACACTGATCGTACCCTAATTGAGATTTAGAGTGTATCATTATAAAATACTAAACTTAGTGAGGTTGATAATGAACTTTAACTTAAAGAGGTGAAAGATATGGCTGCGTGCAACTGCAATAAATGCAAATGATGGGACAATTTTGATTAATGATTTTAATCTGGCTCTTACTAATTCGCTCGCCCAAAAATTATCACGTGACTTTGGTTTTAATGGTTTTGCAGCCGAACAAAACGGTTTTTACACATAAACCCTAATCCCACCCCTAACCAGAAGTATAACTCCGAAGCTATCCAAATCCCTAACCACAACCTTAACCCTAACCCGAATTGTCTTGTAGCGCGATGCACTACTGGGTCGCGCCGCGCATCGAATAATTCTTCTCGCAACCACAGGTGCAGATCGGCAAGATGCGAAGGATTGACATCGTGAATCAAGAATTGTCATACGTTGTATGACCCGCCGCGCACGAAGTGCGCGGCTCCCCCTGTATCGTCAGGACGACCGTGGGTGTCACAACGTGATACAAAAGTAAAACCCGAACCCTAAACAATCGAATTTCTCCAGGAAAGCATTTTTACCCTACCCTACGTCATATCATGATCTTGTAGCGCGATGCACTACTGGGTCGCGCGCGCGCATCCAATAATGCTTCTCGCATCCAATGCTTCTCGCATCCAATAATGCTTCTCGCCGATCGTATGCAGATCGGCGAGATGCGAAGGATTGACATCGTGAATCAAATCATGATCCTGTTAGTATAATAATGACAACGCAATTTACTGGGCGGTGAGCTCACTAGCTCAGCCTGTCATTCCACCAAATCTCTGTTTATGGTTTATGAACATTAATATTATAGCCCAGGCCCCCAGGTAGCAATGTAATAAAATACTGTAAACTAGATAAACATTACCTTTTGCGCCATTCCTATTCTGCGTTACTGGGCCGCGCTCAGCCTGTCATTCCGCCTAGCCTAATTTCTATTTTATGTCCATGAGCGCTCTTATCACTTCTTGCATGTAAAAGAATTTATTAATAATAATAATGCAGTAAGCTAGTGCTACTAACCATATATTACATAGTATTGATTCGAACGATGTCAATCCTTCACTACAGCTCGGCGAGGCCCAGTGCACAGTGGTGCATCTCGCCGATCTACTGCATATACTGTGGTTGGGAGTCGTTTAACGGGTGATACTAGTCGTAAAATATTTATATTTCTTTTATATCAGGAGACAAAACCGTCGCGACGAGTCCAGACTCAGAGTCCAACTCGGCGCGCGTCTTGGTAGGTTATAAACCTACAGTACACAGTACAAGGGGTCGTTCACATATTACGTAATCATTCGAAAACTCTTCCCCCTCAGCTGATTACGTAATATGTGAACGACCCCTTACGATGTACGAGAAGCTAAGATTATTTGATGCGCGGCCTAGTAGTGCATTGCGCTACATGAACGCTTATATGTCATATGTTATAACCATATAATTGCTACCTCCCTTTTATACCTTTGTGTTTGAGCTGGAAAATTATTGAAGGTCGAAATTTAACGGGTGATAGTGCTTCAAATATATTATTATTCTTAAGACCGTCGACGAAACGAGTCCAACTCGACGCGCGTCTTGTTAAACCTACAAGCCGAAATACGATAAAAGGGCAATAATTGTCTTTTAGTTGTTCGAAATGATATTTAGATTTTAAATGAATATTTGATTTAAATTATTTCGTCTTTTCGTAACTTTCTGTCCACGTCGGCCGTTACTGGGCGGCGCTCAGCCTGTCATTTTACCGAATCTCTATTCGGATTTTGATTATGAACATATTGATATATATATAATCGCTCCTACTAAATCGCTCGCCCAAATTTTAAGAAAATTCTTGTGAAAAGGCCCTTTAGGCATGACAGTGATCTAGCGGTGTATTTTTGGACGCTGATTCCGAATCACCCCCCATGACGTAGGGTTAAAATGCTTCCCTGGAGAGTTATGGGCAAAAAACCGTTTTTGTCACGTGACAGGCTAGTAAAACGTGAATTCGATTATTTAGGGCTCGGGTTAGGGTTGTATCACGTTGCGACCCCCACGGTCGTTTCACTATGGTGACGATACAGGGGGAGCCGCGCACTTCGTGCGCGGCAGGTCATACAACGTATGACAAGGTTAGGGTTAGGGTTGTGGTTGAGATTATGGATAGCTTCGGGGTTATGGTTAGGGTTAGGGTTGGGATTAGGGTTTATGTAAAACCGTTTTGTACGGCTGCAAAACCAAAAAACCAAAGTCACGTGAAATTTTTGGGCGAGCAATTTAGTAAGAGCCATATATAATAGCCTGCAGGTAAAGCCGTAGTACATACATATTACATTACGATGGAAACTACATTGCAAGAAAGCTGCGATAAAAAGCCGCGCCGTAACACGCTCACGGCTGTACTGTTACGGCGCAGCTTTTTATGTGTTATGGCAGTTTTCATCGCAATACGTAGTTTATATCGTAATGTAATAAGTATGTACTAGTACTACGGCTCAACAAGTATATAAACTTGCAGCATGAGCAGGAGCAACTGCAGACATCACGGTGAAAGACCCGCTTATGCGAGACAAAGAAAGGAGTCACTGTCAAAGAAGCTACCCAGACCAATAATAAAACAATTTTCATTCATCATCATGAGCATTGCAATTAGCGAAGGGTTCCTCCTTTGTTGTACTTGTGGCATTAAAGTACAATTTTAAGTTCTCGTTTAGAACTAAGAGTGGAATATGATATTTAGGTTTTAACTGTTAAAAAGTGTATCAAGTGTGTGCGTGCATTGAGCATTTAATGATAATCTACAAAGTAACCCAAGTAACTAGTCGTTGAACTAAACAAATTATCAGTCACACATTGAAGTTACCTGCTTCTACTAATTCACTCGTCAGCGCAATTTCACGGTTATTTTAAGCACAATTTCTCAGAACAGTGGTGTTACATTGTTACAGTGGTGTAACGAAGGGTCCCACTCTGGACATGGAGGGCACCAAATCGTCGTTTGAATATGGGATAAAGGGAATGATAAACCATCCTTTATGCTTTAGTTTCTAATCATCAGGGTCAAAACCATCATCTTCGCTTCATCAAGTTTATCAAATTTGAAAGATGTTTTTTGATTAATACGCTGTAACAACCATCTTAGTTTCAGTTTATTTCAAACAGTGACAAAATCAGACACGGTCCATAACTTTAACAATAAATAGTTCAATAATTTGACAATGGCAAAAACTTGTAAAGTATTCCATTAAACTTAAAGATCCCTGCAGTGAAAACTAACTTCATCTACAATAATGTTCCCATGGAAACCTACCTTCTATGGTAGTGTAACCACAGCAACACTACCATATATGGTAATGTAACCACGGCAACACTACCATATATGGTATTATGATATAAGAATCTGGGATTGCAAGGCAACATCTGTAAATAACGATTTGAGATGTCTCAGAAATGGAAACGAACGGAATATTCCAAAATTTTACTAATTATGAATAATATCATATCAGTTTTGCAGGGGTTTGGAGATTGCAATTTGTACTATATTAGCAAGACAACAGAAATTAGTTAATATTTTGTTAATGATAACATTCCAATACATTACACGTAATATTCATTCTAAAAACAATCTCTCATTCAATTCAAATAACGTGTAGGCATGTGAGCTGGATTTTACATATTTGGCGAACTGCCAACTATGGTATTTTAACCACGTGACGAATAGCTTTAACAGGTGCTGGAGGAGTCCATTAAATAATTATGATATTGCTGATTTCTAATACTACTAAAACATAGTTATCATTATATTGGAAAGTTGAGCTGGATCAAAAACTCTATTAAAATTAATTTTCTGATATAAAAAAGGCAAATCATGTGTAATCAAGTTCTAATTTTCATTTAATATTCATCATATAATTTATGAATATTGTCTTCGAACGCAAGTATCAACAAGCTAATTGCATTAAGTGAATCAAGAGCATAATCGTGCGTTATTAGGGAAAGTTCTAGATTGTGAGGTTTAAATCCTAACATTCAGACTAGGAAACATCTGTATATAATTAAATTTTCAGGTTTGAGTAGGAATAAGAGCCATCATTTTTGTATTCATATTTTTGCGATTGTAATTTATAAATATAATTGAAGCTCTTTAGCTATTTCACGGATTTGACAAACAACTTACATTTTTCTTTATTCATGGCTTCATTATTATAAGGAATAATTATCTCACTATATTAGGTTATAACCATGGTAACACTACCATGATAATGGGTAGCCATGGTAACCATAGTAAAATGTTTCACAATGATGAATTGTTAAAACAAATTATTAAAGTCCAATTTTCAAGTCATTGTCTATCTAACAGGTAACTATGGTAACCATCTGAACTTAACCAAATGTGAAAAAAACAACAATTTCTGGGAATATTTTAATTGAGCTCTATTCCGAGTGATTCAACTTAATCAATCAGAGCGCTGTAAAAGTGCACAGGAAATAATCTGTCAGGTGAATGATATTAATCACGTCTGATCCCTGAAATGCCACAAAACTTCGAGTAAAAAAGGTTTCACCTCTATGATGATATACACAATGTTAATCATGATTGACGTTGTAGTTACCACGGTTACTTAAGGTGGTTACCTAGGTTACTAAATGGTTACCAAGGTTATTAAATGTTGATGAGCAGCACTAGTTTCTTTCCCAATGTTAGCAAACAACTTCTTGATCAAATTAAGCAGCGTAAACCGAAGATAATATTGTATAAAATGTGACGTCACTACACGTGGTATGACGTCACTACACGTGATATAACGTCACTACACGTGATATGACGTCACTGCACTGGCTAGCAACAACAGTAGTACATGGAAGCGACGAGGGAAGCTAACACTTGGAATGCAGATGGTCCGTGGTGGGAGTTATTGAAGGGGGGCGGGTCCTCCGGCGGTTGACACTCTCGCGCATATTTACACATCTTCTCATCTAGCTCCTTAATAGCTAGCGCTTCTGGGCGCTGAAATATTGGGATTAGTATTCTAGTCTAGCTCCTTAATAGCTAGCGCTTCTGGGCGCTGAAATATTGGGATTAGTATTCTAGTCTAGCTCCTTAATAGCTAGCGCTACTGGGCGCTGAAATTTGGTTAAATTAGGTGCAACTACAACCTAAATTTGTATGTTTCTGATAATTCCTTATATGCTAGAAAGGGAAAATGGTCTTTTCATGTAAAGGGGTCGTTCACATATTACGTACGTAATCACTTTTGGACAATTTTACCCCCCCCCCCCCCCTCCGTAATAGTTTTACACATAGCTATTGTGTCAAATTACACTAGCGTAATCATTTGGAAACCCCCCCTCCCCGGTCCCCCTCAGCTGATTACGTAATATGTGAACGACCCCAAAGGTAACTGTTCAACATTTTTATGTGATTACATCATGTTCTCAATAGATGTAATTAATGCGAAGTGCTGTAATTAGTTTATAGATGTAGATTGTAGTCACGTTGAAACGTTGAACAGTTTCCTCTCTGAAAAGATAATTTTCCCTTTCTCGTATATACGGAATTATCAGAAATTTATCAGAAACATCACAACAATTCGCTTCATGAATAATGTTATCCTATCCGAATATTACATTCCTAAATGTGCACTAAAAGAAGAAGAACTTACCGCAGTGGATTTAGAAGATACAGTTTTATCAACAATATAGCTCCCAATCTCTGAACCATTCCAACAGTCCAGATTATAATCGCTGATGGAAATGTTCAGCAGCGAAGTTGTTGTTCCAAGATCCAAGGGCGGGAAATTTAGCCCTAACTTTTCACGGCATTTCGGTAGGTGACTTACAGCTGCTGAAAAGAAAATGTTATTTGTACTGTATATACAGGTAATGTGTGGGCTAGACGCTTCATTGAAAATGACTATGAAAAGAACACATCTTTGTCGACATTTTGTAGAATTTGTAAACTCATATCAGCCCCTCAATTCTGATTAAGGTCCAAGTAATCTTTGGGGGGGGGGGGGGGGGGGGGGGGCTGACCATATTAAAGTAATCTTTGCTATAAGATGACGTCACTAACTTTTAGGGGAGGAAGTGGTAGGAGGAGGAGGAGAGCTAGAGGAACGAGGATCTGAAACTGCTTCTCTTCTTGATAATCTTATATCTGATAAAATACCTTCATTTGACCCGTGATACACCTGAAGAAGGTTAATAGGTTAATTAATCAGTTAATTTAAATGACAAATTAATTGGTTAGTTGATTAGATATCAGAAAACAAGTTGGTTAGCATGTTAACTTTGAAATGTAACTTTATCTAAATGGAAATATTCCTCCTCGATGGTGGATGTATTGCTTGTACTGTATACTCAATAACAATGACAGCAAAGAATAAAGTACCCAGAACCTCGACATTTCGCGTGCCTTGCTCTACCAAGCAAGGCACGCGAAATGTCGAGGTTCTGGGATCATTCCCCAGTTGTCCCTAGTTTTTCAGAATTAATCATCACCTATAGACAGCATGAGAGTAGGCCCTGCCATCTCGAAGTGATAATAATAATTAAATGTTTCGCAGATTGGCAATTGATCGGTGTAGTTGGTGTTGTACACACTGCACTGATAATGATATCACGTTGAACGTGTAATGTAAATATAGTGTGGATACATGCGAATATATATTCTAAATATCTGATAAACTAACATATTCCTCAGCTAGTAGTTGGTTAGGGACATTGCTCAACTTCTCTTCAGGAACCATGCTCTCCTGACTCCGGCTGTAATCTAAACTTCCTGTTGAGCGCTTGTGTGAGTCAGGCTGGACACACTTCATGTACGCCTGAAATAAAACTTGCTTTATTAAGAGAATCAGAACGAGAACAATACTTCTGCTTATAAAGTTTTCAAATCATATCAATTTGAATTTAGTGGGGGCTCCCGAGGATGATGTTTGAAAGAGATCCTATTACTGCGTCACGTATTTGGTTCATTTGCAGTAGTTGTGACAGTGAACGATTCGATTGAACACCTTGGAATAGAAGAGGAGATGGCAGTTGGAAACTACTGAATGATAACTGTGATTTGGCGCGCGCGAGCGCAGCATTCAGCGCACGCACTTGATGTTAACAAGAGCGCGCTATTTTATGCATAAGATTCGCACCGCGCGCTCCGTAGACGATAAAACGATCGTCGCGAAATTTCGTGACACATAATATTGACAATTACATTTAAGTGTTTTAGTTACTTCGCGTATAAATAGCATAATTACAAATATTTGCCAATATAAAAATTTTACCAACATAGTATAAACTACCGATATAGTATGTTTATCTGTATAATAAATTTAGTATTTACTTACTTACTTTGATACTTATATACCAATATAATATTTTAATATATAGTACAAGAACATTCACTGTCTGACTTAGTTATTATTTGATAAAATAAGATTTGTGTAATCAGGCCTACTGTTAGAGTACTACAGGAGGAAAGTAAGGTACCTTTTGGTGTAAATCATAACAGCGTGTACACTAAGTTGTTTACACATACATTTATGTATATTGTTTGTCCATGTTATAATATGTTGTTTATTATGTTGAATTTTCAAACTATTTACAGTAAGGTTCTACGTCGTACCAACTTCTACTTGATGAAACCCCCACCGCCCCACGGCCCCGAAACGTACCTTGTACAGTCCATATTCAAAGTTAAATGAGTATCGTATCTTATTGAAATCTGAAATCTGATGAGTTATGCATACATGTGAATTGATAAGAGAATATGATAAGATAAAAATAAAATATTACGCCGAAGATGTATAACAAGTTTATAATGACAGCTAAACGTACATATATCTATATATAGTGTTAAGTATAACTACTGCAACAGTAACTAGTTTTATGTATTGTAGATAAATCTTATATATAGTACAAGAACATGCGATGTCTGAAATTAAAGCGTTGTATGTAATAAAATAAGATTATGTAGAGATCATGTAAGTGATTATTAGTACACAAGTAGAAAGTAACGGTACTTTTGTATTAATCATAACTACTAGGTGACACTAAGTATTTTACAATACATCCTGTCCCCATCAGGTTCGCAGTTCATCTAGTTTGTCCATTCCTGACCACAGCTTTTGTACAAGTTTTACCGCGCAATTAACAGCATCAAATATATCTGCAAACAGTCAGGAATGTTAATAATCAGTTGCCTCGTTGTGTATATTATAAATATTCAGTTATACGTTGCGAGGTAGACTTAAGGTACATACGCTCAGTACACACTTCTATACCTTGTTACCCCCCCCCCCCCCCCCCGGCCCCCCGTACCTTGTTACCTTGTTACAGTACCATATTCAAAGTTAAATGTAAGTATCAGCTCATCTTATTCTAAATCTGTAAATCTAATGTGTTATCAGTAACTGTGAAAATGATAAGAGTATAAAGATAAGAGTATAACTAATATATAATATAGCTAAGAGTATAACGCTAAGTTTATAAATGACTAGCCGTAACAACTGTACTATATAGCTATATATAGTGTTAAGTATTAACACTTCAACAGTAACTAGTTTTATGATATTGTAGATAAATACTACAGTATAGTATAGAAAACTATGCGGAGTGCAAATTATACAGCGGTTGCTATGGAAACAGAGAGAATATAAGTAAGAGACATTGTACGTGATTTAATTAGTACACACAAGTCATAACAGTAACAGAGTACATTGTAGTATTACTACTACTACTACTAGGTCGGAACTAAGTCATGTCTACAATTCTACATATATATCCCTGTCCCGCATCAGGGTTCGCAGTTCCTCTTTAGAGTTTGTCCCAACTTCCTTTAGTAACATAGACATATAACTTTGTTTCAATTTCGGTCGGCCTTGCTGTGCTCTACCATGCAAGTTCCCATAAGACTAAATCACTGGCCAGTAGCTCAGGATGTCTGACATTATAACAAAGTACATTATAATACATGTAATTATAGCAAATATAACTTTATACTTTTTAAGTTATACATACACTAAAAATAAACAACACTAACTAAATTGCCTTACATTAAAAGTAACACTTATTAGCAATTAGGCTATAATCAGTTAGAGTTATTTTTCAGTGTTAATTTGGGCACGTGATTGTAACTGATTGCTAACTGAGGCGGTTTTGAAAAAGTCTATTCAAATGTATTTAAACTGGAACACATTAGTTGTCGAAAATTAAGTGCTTCTTAAAAGTCACAATGGTGGTCTTCATGTTAAATACGGGACAATGGCGGGACATGTGGTGGACAATTCAAACTTGATGTACCGTCACAATAGTGACTTAAATATACCAACAATAACATAAAGTGAAGGCAGACCCCCAGTCAAGGAACATGGTCAGCTACCAGTGCAACATAAAGTGACATGTCCTTTTAAACAATAGTAGATACACTATAGTATGGTAGATACAATACCTAATAAACTGCAACATGTTGCAAATCTCATGGGAATAAGTTTTAATATAGAGCACGCCAAAACATAAAATATTAAACATATAATATACAACAATAAAATATAAAACATAAAAATATATACAGCATATTAATATAATGAAGATTGATAATACGATATGACGATTAGTTAAACACGGAGCAGGCACTGCAACTGAGTGGGATCAAGCAAGCAACACGCAGGAATATCACATTCTAGGTCACTCTAATATCAGATAATCTATACTAATAATCTCAAGATGTGTGTTCGTTCGAGAGTGCGTGAGACACTTTAATACAATATTACCAAACTGCCGTTATTATTAGAGTACTAGTGTAACCCGGTGCCTACGGCCGGGAGTTAACTGTCGCAGTTGAAATGTAAAAGTATAAACCCGCCTATTACATTCGAAAACATGCATTACATTTTCGTAGTTAAACCGGTGCGAAAGCATGAAGTCGCTCAGTCCAAACAGACCGCAATTTAATTGTTAGTGCCACTCACGTATCTAATAGGTAATACTTGATAGGGAATCTTGAGGTCTACTGCCAAATTACCTAATTATATAGCAAATATGTTATGGGGGAGAGAGTGAGAGTGGGAGAGTACACACACACACACACACACACACACACACACACACACACACACACACACACACACACACACTTTAGTATCTCATTTGGGTCACAAAATAATCAATTAAACCACTTACCACCGGCCAATTTAAAAAACCTTAGTCATTTGGCTTGGTCAGAGTTTTGTCGGCACTATACCGAACTCTAACTGTTTTCTTGATTGAGCCGTTAGGAAATTACACGCGAACGAACGAACACACATCTTGAGATTATTAGTATAGATTATGAAATGTTAGTCAGTTCACACAGGTAACCAGATAAGTTCCCCGTTGTAATCGTCTTCCTACTACCAGTAACATAACACCTACATCAAGTGTTCTACCCGTTATCACACCTGGCCTCAATAATACAAAAGTCTAATACGAAAGTAGATCATATTACTGTTAGAGAGGTGTGGAACCCTTTCAGATGAAGCTGAACGCAATTAACACACGTCTTTGAAAGCAATGCTTCAATAAACCCCTCCAGTCCTTTGTTAATTAAAATATATCATCATGTAAACATGATGATATTATCTCCCTCTCCCTCTCCCTCTCCCTCTCCCTCTCCCTCTCCCTCTCCCTCTCCCTCTCCCTCTCCCTCTCCCTCTCCCTCTCCCTCTCCCTCTCCCTCTCCCTCTCCCTCTCCCTCTCCCTCTCCCTCTCCCTCTCCCTCTCCCTCTCCCTCTCCCTCTCCCTCTCCCTCTCCCTCTCCCTCTCCCTCTCCCTCTCCCTCTCCCTCTCCCTCTCCCTCTCCCTCTCCCTCTCCCTCTCCCTCTCCCTCTCCCTCTCCCTCTCCCTCTCCCTCTCCCTCTCCCTCTCCCTCTCCCTCTCTCTCAGTGCCGGTAGTGAGATCACTATTAATGTAACAGAGGTTGTTACACTGCACTACTTAGGCAGACATAGTTTATACAGTATATAGAGTTGTGTGTACAATGTGGTCCACATACAAATAGGCTCTTCCTGGACTTTACATGAACTATAACACTAGTAACCACGGTAACTGTAGATTATTCAACTAGTATTTACCATGGTAACAATGTGACCAGTTTCTACTTTGACGAGACTTCTCTCAATAATTTTATGGGTGTTCCACAGGGTTCTATAATAGGGCCATTTCAAGGTGAACACCGTAAGTTGTTCACACAGATTTATCACTACGTACAAGAAGATACATAATAATACGTATAATGTGTATTTTGCATAGTTTTGCACATGAAATCAATTGGTAAAATTCAGATTCTATTGTATAAAAAGCTTAACTTGGGGATCATTATCATTTTGGGCTTCCATGGTTGAAAATTCCTTGAAAAAATATAAAATCCTCAATCTATTTTGTGAACTGAATGAGAACATTTAATATTTGGTATATCGGGTGAGATGCCGTACAGCTGAGTAAGATGAAATTATAAGTAACATGTAATTTCGCTAAGAGTGTATCAAATGCCACTACTTCATGGTAATGTCAGGTGATATGTAAAATGTAAGCCAGACAATCCAATGAAAATGTTCACATAATAATACACATAATAAGTAATAACATAATATAATAATAATGCAGACATAATATTATTATCCTGTGCACGAGGAACGTGAAGGAAGTACATGATTTATTTCCTACTGAGACTTTTATTTGTCTAGCTAAGTACCGAATTAGAATATTCATCATAATATTTATATGAAATTTATATGAAATATATATGAAATTTATATGAAATTTATATGAAATTTATATGAAATTTATATG